CCTTTATCAGAAGTTTGTAGCTGCAGCTCTTCAAAATACCAGAAATACTTGGCCATCCATGTATATAATCCATTATATGGATGATATTCTAATAGCAGGCACAACAGGGGAAGTGGTATTACAATGTTATGCTCAGTTAAAGTCTGATTTATTTGATGTAGGTTTACAAATAGCCCCTGAAAAGGTGCAAACACAGGATCCCTACTCTTATTTGGGTTTTCAGATTGATGGGCAAAAAATAACTAATCAAAAGGCTATCCTTAGACTTGATAAACTGCAAACCTTAAATGATTTCCAAAAACTATTGGGTGATATTAATTGGCTATGTCCTTATTTAAAGTTGACCACTGGGGACTTAAAGCCCCTCTTTGACATCCTTAAAGGGGATGCAAATCCAACCTCACCCAGAGAACTTACTGAGGAGGCCAGAGTCGCCATACGTAGAGTTGAGGAAGCAATTGCTAATCAGTTAGCAATATAGATTATTGTAAGCCTTTATGGCTCATAATTTTTAATACTCCACTATCGCCTACAGGTCTTCTTTGGCAAGAGCCTGATCATCCTCTTATGTGGGTACATTCACCTGCCTCCCCAAAAAGGGTATTGCTTCCATATTATGATGCAGTAGCTGACTTAATGATTATTGGTTGAGACCACAGTCGTAAATATTTTGGTGTGGAACCTCTTCATATTGTGCAACCTTATACCAAGGATCATATTAACTGGCTACTTCAGAACTCAGAAACTTGGCTAATAGCTTGTGCTAATTTTCTGGGGGTTTTAGATAACCATTACCCACCTGACAAGCTTATTCAATTTTGTAATCTGCATACTTTCATTTTTCCATGCATTACTAGCCAGCATGGCAGATTATACTTGGAATGATCAGGTTGTGTGGTTTCGAACCAACAAAACCTCTGCACAACTAGTGGAACTGTCTGCCATTATATCAGTTTTCTCTATGTTCCCTGATACACCTCTTAATATATATACTGATAATGCATACATAGCTCGTACTGTGCCTCTTCTGGAAACTGTTCCTATAATTGGGCATGTTTCTGAAGCTGCAGATCTTTTTTGTCAGTGCCAGCACCTCATTTGTCAGAGGACGGCCCCATTCTTTTTAGGACACATTAGGGCACATTCTAATCTTCCAGGACCTTTAACGGCTGGCAATCAGGTCACTGATGCAGCCACCAAACTTGTAGCTATTGCTACTTTTTCTAATATTGCTCAAGCTCAATGGGCACATGAGTTGCATCATCTCAATGCAGCTTCTTTGCGATTAATGTATAAACTTACCAGAGAACAAGCTAGACAAATAGTTAAAGAATGTAAGACTTGTGTCACTTTCCTTCCTGTTCCCCATCTAGGAGTCAATCCTAGAGGACTTGTTCCTAACATGCTTTGGCAAATGGATGTATCTCATTATAATGAATTTGGCAAATTTAAATATATTCATATTTGCATTGATACTTTCAGTGGACTTCTCTGCACTTCCTTACAAACAGGTGAAGCTACTAAACATGTTATTGCTCATTTGCTCCATTGCTTTTCTATACTGGGTACCCCAAAACATATTAAAACAGATAATGGCCCTGGATATGTATCTCAAGCCTTTCACAATTTCTGTAATACCTTGCAGATAAAACATACAGCGGGAATTCCTTATAACCCACAGGGCCAAGGCATAGTTGAAAGGGCTCATTTACTTATAGGAAAAAATACGCTGAATAAAGTAAAAAAGGAGGAATGGTATCCCATCAGGGGATCCCCCAGGAACTTATTAAATCATGTACTCTTTATTTTAAATTTTTCTTTCACAATTTCTGTAATACCTTGCAGATAAAACATACAGCGGGAATTCCTTATAACCCACAGGGCCAAGGCATAGTTGAAAGGGCTCATTTACTTATAGGAAAAAATACGCTGAATAAAGTAAAAAAGGAGGAATGGTATCCCATCAGGGGATCCCCCAGGAACTTATTAAATCATGTACTCTTTATTTTAAATTTTTAAAATTTAGATGCTCATGGTAAGTTGGCTGCAGATCGTTTTTGGCACCCAGAATCAAAAAGACAGTATGCCATGGTCAAATGGAAAGACCCCCTGGATAATTTGTGGCATGGCCCAGATCCAGTATTAATATGGGGCAGAGGATCTGTCTGCATTTATTCACAGCAACATGATGCAGCCCGCTGATTGCCTGAACGCTTAGTAAAGCAAATAAATACTAATCAACGTTCCAGGGAAAATGAGGCTCCCTGAGAAATGTTTTTCTTTTCTCTCTGTTCTCTTTCAGACTGCAATGGCCTCTGCTTGTTACATCCTGCTCCTCCTGATTGGTCCCATTTGGTCGCAGATGGTGTTGCAGTGGGAATTCCAGGTTAAAGAGGGAAACACACACTCTGATGACAACATTCAAACCATTGGCACTGCCTGCTGTCCAGTGAAGGGTTGTCAAACAACCATCGTCATCCCAATCACTCCGTCTATTTTATCCTCTAAATTAAGATCTCACATTGTTTCACTTATGATAATAGACACAGGTGTCTCACGGATAGTAATGATAAGGGTCAATTCATAATTCGTATAGACGACCCTTGGGACGTCAGGTGGCAGAATGGAGTTCGAGGAAAAATTTTTTATAATAATGGGTTTGCCTTACTCCTGGCGGGGTCCTTATCTATTTCCCGTTGGCTGGTCCCTGCTACCATTGAGAAACAAGTGAGACAGGTTATTATTATGAGACTAAGCTTCAGTCTGCCATACAGTCAAACTCCACCCTTAATCTTGCCCTTTGGCACAATTATCTAAATTTCGCTTTACAGTTGTTGAACCTTTCTAATATCAATGCTTCATTGTGTTTGTTGTGTGCCTCCTTGGTTTGGCCTTTACTAGCCGCTGTCCCTGTTAATAATTCCTCTGCACTCAATATCGTTGCCACTGGCACTGCACCTTCTCCCCCCCATGCCGTCAATTCCATTGCTTCATAATCCTGCTCAGAATATTTCCCTCTGCTATATCACTGCTATCTACATTTCCCCCTCCTTCGTATGCCACAGTAGTCGCTCTGTCAGTTCACCTCTTTATGCTCCCCCTCTAACGTCTTTCTGGTGCAATGAGTCCCTGTATCAACAGATCACTCTTTCCTCTCCAGGACCCTGTGTATTAATTACTATTGTACCCCAACTAAACGTATTCTCCAGAGGAGTTCTCCTGGCTACTCCGCCCACGTATTAAGAGAGGAGTGTTCATCCCTTTTGCAATCGGGATAGGATTTACTATTTCTGCCAGCCTTTCGGTGGGGGCCTTGGGACATACTCTCTACACTGAAAAGGAATTCAATTCCCAATTACAGCAAGTTATAGAATCCACAGCCAGTAGTCTTGCGTCCTTGCAACGCCAGTTGACTTCCCTGGCACAAGTCACCCTTCAAAATCATAGGGCCCTTGATCTTATTACTGCTGAAAAGGGGGGAACTTGCCTTTTCTTACAGGAGGAATGCTGTTTCTACGTCAATGAATCGGGATTAGTGGAACAAAATATACAGACCCTGCAGACCATCAGTTACAAACTGCATCATTTTTATCAAAGCCCTTCTAGATGGTTGGACTCCCCTTTCTTTTCTTGGATTCCCTCTGTAATTCCATCCCTCCTCATCCTACTGCTTCTTCTTACACTAGGGCCATTGTTGGTAAAAAGGCTGTTGGTCTTTATTAAGCAGCAAATAGAGGCTCTTCACACTGCAAAACCAATACAGGTCCATTACCATCGTCTTGATCTTATGGATCGAGAGTTGATAGGGACACGTTGCTATGATGGCACCACTAGCCATCCCCCTTGAGAGGTGAACTGGACAGTCAGTGATGGGTACGTGAGAATCCCCCCTTGATGGCAACCTAAGACAGGAAGGTAGTCTAATGCTACTACCTTATCCAATGACAGGTAAGCCCTTGGGAAAGGATACTCCAACCTAAGACAGGTGCAGTTCCCCAAGGGTCTAGCAACCTTCGATCCCTAAACTCTATAAAGAAAAAAGGGGGACCTGTTGGGAGCCTGAGGCTCAGCCATTTCTCAGGGCTGCTGGCAGACCTGAGTTGGTGACCTTTCCATTCAGGCCACAACCTTGGCTTACAGCCAGGGCCCACAACCTTGTTCTCCTTTCTAGTTATCAGTAGATTCCTCCCTTAGAGTACATCTGGGTCCCTGTGTTCTGACTGATGTAATTATTTGCAGTCTTTGCTCCTTTGTTCTCATTCTCTATTTAAACTCATGCTTGTGCTTTAATAAACGAGACTTGATCAGAGCCCTGTCTTGTCTCCATTTCTCTTGTCGCTTGCCTCATCCACGGCCCCACTCCCCAATCCAGGTACTTCATGGCAGTTTCCGCAGGTCAGAACCAAGTCACGCAGCGGAGTGGCCTCCCGCACATTGTGATGGGACTATGGATCTAGGGGCCACACATGGAGAAACAGCTATGGAGAGATAGTTGTGGCAGGCTTTAGGCTGATGAAATGATGTGACATCATAATCTACCAAGGTAACTGTGAAGTAGCTCATCTCTTCTACCATGATTAGTTCAAATTATCAATGAAATGGGGTCGCTGTATTCCAAAGGGACAAGCTTTGGAGTGCTAGATTTGCCAGTGGAATGGATGAACACATGCCCTGTGAGTGCCACTCCTGATTTCCTCTATGCTTTTCAGAAGTTTGAGGGAACTTTAATTTTCCCCCTAAGCTTGTTAACCCTGCTTATTAAACACAGGGCTAGGGGTAGGGAGGCTGTGGTGCTTTAATCCTGATTACATTTCTGTCCTTTCTAGATAATTTCTTTTGGGTGATTTAGGGTAAATGTTCATAGTCAGAGACTCCAACTGTTACCCTGCTTTTCCCTGAGATAGTGTCATATACCTTGGGGTTGAGACCCAGGGGAGGCCTTGTAATCCCATGGCAGCAGGGTCAGGCTTCTGGGAATGCAGGGCTTTATCTGCACATTTCTCAGATGCTGTGGTGAGGAAGTAAGACTGTACTGGCCCACTAGTTTTGGCTAACAGGTGGCTGGCTCCTCATGGTATAAGAACAAGCATGGCTGACCAGTGCTTGGCCGTTGCCTGCAGCCTCCAGTCTCATGCTGGGCTGTCTTTAATTTCAACTCAGGCCTCTGCCAAGCCTGGCACTTCTGCATGCCCTTTGAGGCTAACACATCTGGGTAGATACACCACACAGGAAGTGCTAACTTTGATTGTGAAGGGGTGTCTCTGCTAGTGCTGCATTCCTATAGTGGTGGCTTGTTGAATGGGAAAAGAGATGTGTTGAGCTCAGCTCCGCTAGCCCCCAAATTATTTCAGCCACAAGCCAGGCATGGTCATGCATGACTGCAATCCCAGCACTTGGGAGGTAACGGGATGAAGATTAGGAGTTCAGGGCCACCCTGGGCTACATGGGTCGCTGTTCCCCACCACCACCCTCCGCAAAGGAGGGAGAGAGAAAGTGAGTCAATAGCCCCAGTGTTCTTATATCTCCCAAGACCTCGGGTGGGGGTAGGAGGGAATAGACAAGCTGATCCTGCCAGTGCCTACACTTCTGACTTCTGCTCTTCCTCAGCCATCTCTGATAGATACACTTCTTAGGTCACATCCATTTCAGCAAGCCTTAGGGGACAGTTTTCATGGATGATAGACACCCAACTCAAATATGAGGTGGCTGGCCTTGTTTTTTTATATAAGGAATCAGAAAAATCAGTAAGAACTAGGATCAAAGTTCATTACTTAATCTTGACTATTCACATTGTACCTGCTGATACAATTACTCTAATGCCCCTTGAATGAAGTCACATACAGGTTTGAGCAAATCCACTGTGTGTGTGTGTGTGTGTGTGTGTGTGTGTGTGTGTGTGTGTGTGTATGTACATGCATATACCATGGCACACATGGAAGTCAGAGGACAACTTGCAGGAGTCAGTTTTCTCCTTCCATCACATGGGTCCTAGGGTTTAAAGTTAGGTCCTAGGGTTTAGGTAGGCAGTAAGCACTTTTACCCACTGAGCCATCTCTCTGTACCCCCTTTAACATTTTTTTCACTGGGTTTTATACCTACTGTGTTATTCATTTGATGGCTCCACAAAGCTAAAGTGGTAAGATTCTAGTGGATGAAGCACTTATAATGAGCTTTCTTGTTGTTCATTGTTATTTCAGATAGTCTTTGTAGCCCAGTCTGGCCTGAAATTCCTGCCTCAGCCTCCCAAGTTGTTGGGATTAGGGGTGTGAGCCATCATGCCTAGCTTCATAACAGACCGTTGTCTAAATTAAGGCTCTCTCCTCTCTAGTCTCCAGTAACTGTTGCCATCTACTATATTGTAATTAGTTGTTTCCATAATTTCTTCCTCTCTCAACCCTTCTCTGCACAGAGCTAGAAACACATGATATTTACCCTTCTGCTATTTTATGCACTGTACCCACACAGCAGCAGCTCAGTTCATGGACAAATTGACTTGATAAGTAGCCTTTTAGCTAATGGGCCCAGAGCAGCATGTTGATGAGGGAACCATCTCTGTATGTATCCAATCAACTGTGAAGGCTAAATGAGGGTCTAGACCGATAACTTCTGACAAAATAAGAATAACCAGAACACATGGAGTACTTTTTTCTAACATCTGGGCACAATTTTTTAGCACACATGACCCAGAGCTTGATACATCAACAGCACGATCTTCTATATAACACTCTGGATCCTTCCTCCCTTACTACTGTTTCTGCCCTTCTTAGATAATCATAAAACAAACTCAAATTCAAGAATCTTTGTTGCCAATATATTTAGTAGAAATATTGTGATACTTTCATTAAAAACTTGAAGTTGTAAATCATGTTTCGTTTTTCTCTAGTGTTTTTCAGTCTATTAACACAGATGCATCCAGGTCCTACAATGAACACAAAGATTTTTTACACTTTAGAAAATTCACCCACTGCGTGGAATCAAATATCATATTCAACCAGATACGACATTTGTGACATACAGATCCTGTACATGGATGAGTCATTAAACTCTCGGCTGTCAAAGACAAGTCATATATAAATACAGCGTGAGCAGCTTTACTTTCCTGAACATCTCACGCCAGTAGGTGGCCAGGTGTTCCTGGTTTCACAGCTTTTAGCCAAGACCTTTGCTCTTGGCTCCAACTGCAACCACGTGGCAGACTTCTACTTCTGCCCCCAGCTTTTGCAGTTCGTCCAACCAGATCATCTGCTTATGTGAGAGACGGTCACTGGGGCCTTTGACTTCCACCAGCTGAAAGAAAAATTGCAGAGTCATCAGTCTCTTACTAAGACTGGCAGGGACCCAGACGAGCTAGTCACCCTCACTGACATGCAAACTGGTCATTCTACCCACTGAGATGTTTACAGAAAACACATATGTAGCTGAGAAATTATTCTGTAGAAACTAGGCAGCTCGGAGAATTAGCAACTGAGTCAGTATAGCAACTGAAGGGTTGATTCAAAGCAGGCACTGGGTTGTTACTCCCTGTTTTGAGCCCCCTCGTTTCTTTGTTACGTTTGCAATTGAATCTAAACAGCCTATCCTGACCTAAAAATGAGGATCCAGTCCTTGCCAGTCAAAGGTCTCCTAATTTACAGCAATGTCAGCCCTACCCCAGGACTTCTCATGCGGTCCCTTGCTGCAGACATTTCTCCCCGATCTTCACAATCCTGATTTGTTGTTTTTCAAGGCTCATTTCAGAGAGATCCACCCTGTCTCTCAGGAGGATCCTCCTGGGCACTGCTTTCATGGTATTTATTTTAGGGTAAAACTTTATTTTTTCAACATTAAAAAAATATTTTTATTTTATATTACTACTACTATTACTATTACTACTACTACTACTACTACTACTACTACTACTACTACTACTACTACTACATCTGTGTGTGTGCACATGCCATTACCTGATGAGCCACCTTGATTGCCCCCAAACTGTTTTATGTACCAGCTCAAGGAAGGCAGGAGCTGGGTCACTGTTGCTCACTGCTGAGTTAGAAGACAGCAATAAAAACAATCTAGCAAAGTGTAGAAAATGTGCTTTTGTGCCTTTGTGTGTGACAGAAAATTTTTGATTAAATAATGACTCCAACTCTCCAGATACAATGTAAACTAGAAACCCAAGGATCAAAGAAAGATCTCAATGAACTCCAAGCCCAGAAACCTAGAGAACACCATGTTAAGAAATGCTGTAATTAAACTTGATAATTATGAGTACAGGGAGGGTCTTAGAGCAGCCAGGAAAAAAGATGTTTGTCATCAGGAGCAGTGGGCCAATGTCTTTAAAGGATTAAAAGAAAGCAATTGCCAACAAGTTATTTTCCCAGACAAAATAATTCTAAGCAGCACATCTCCAGTTCTAGAACTGAAAGGAAATCTCGATCCGCACAAAGGAATGGCAAGGAGAACTGGCTTCTATAAACACTGTTAGTCAGCTGCAGAAAGCAAAATTAATGTGTCACAGCATTTACAAGGTAGATAGAAAATGTATGGAAACACAAAGAATATGCTGCTGCGAGATTATTTATACCACAAATTAAATGATGTAACCTCCTGAAGGTAAGCAGTAAGTTTCAGAGACTCGTTGGACACAATCTTTTTTTTAACCAATTGGCACTTGAGAAACATGCTCAGAGTTCGTGTAAACCAATATGCTGCTAAGAACACGAGCTAGAAGAATGGTGCTCAGACCTGATGGCCAGCCTGTAATCCCAGCATTTGGGAGGCCAAGGCAGGGTGATCACAAGTTCAAGGTCTGTGGGCCATATAGACCTTGTCTCAAAAACAGAGTGGGGAGGGAGGGGAAAGGGAGGAGGAAAAGAAGGGAATAAGAGAAGAGGGAAAGACAGGAGAAAGAGGAGAGAAAAATAGAAAACAAGTGTCAGGATTCAAAACCAAGCATTTCAGTAATGACATTAAATTTAAATGTACCTCGAGTAGGAAGAATATCAGCCCTGACTAGAGCTTTTACCTCAAAGACTGTAATTAAAATAAGCAGGAGAAAGGAGGAGCAGGGCAGAAACCAATGAAACAAACCACAACAGAGAAACTGAATAAAACTTGCACACCTCCCACCAGACGCCATAGAAAAGAGGAGACAGATTAATATCAGAAATATAAACCAGTGGAAATAATGGTTCTATAGAGTAAAATGAAAGCAAGAGAAAAACATGTACAACGATGATAATAAATTGAATGACTCACATGAAATAGACAAATTCCTCAAAAGACACAAACTCCCTAGGTTTAGTCAGGTAGAAAGACAGCAATGAATAGTCCTATGCTGATCACAAGGAAATATACATGGGGCTAGAGAGATGGCTCAGCAGGAAAGAACACCAGCTGCTCTTCCAGAGGACCCAGGTTTGGTTCCCAGTAACCCCATGGTAGCTAACAACTGTCCGTAACTCCAGTTCCAGGGGATTCTATGCCCTCTTCTGGCATCTGTGGGTACTGCATTCACAAGGTACACATGCATACTTGCAAGCAAAACACTCATACACATAAAATAAAAATAAATAATTTTAAAAGAAACTTATAGTCTTAATTTTTTTGGTCTTTTTGAGACAGGGTCTCCCTGTAGCCCCAGCTGGCCTGGAACTCACTATGTAGACCAGGCTGGCCTTGAACTCACAGAGATCGATCTGCCTGCCTCTGCCTCCAGAGTGCTGGGATTAAAGGCATGCACCACCATGCCGGGCAACTTCTTATTTTTTTGAGACAGAGTTTCACTCTATAGCCTAGACTTGCCTGGAACTCACTGTGTAGTCCAGGCTAGCCTCAAACTCATGGCAATCCTTCCTGCCTCAGCCTCCCAAGTGATAAGATTTCAACACAAGAGTCACCATACTCAACGTATAGTTTTAAATATTACCGAAAAGAAAATGCCAGGCAGGCCCCTAAGAATTTATAGGTAAATTCTACCAAAGATTTAAGAACTAATACTAATTCTACACAAACTATTGCAGAAAACTGAAAAGGTATGTTCCATTGTATGAGGGTCAGAATTCTATCATTCTGAAATTTAAAAAAAAAACAAAACCAAAGATATTAAAACTACCAATTTACTGTCTTTTATTAACATATATGCAAAAATTCTTAACAGTATATAAAAATCAAATCCACCATGATATAAAAAGCATAGCACATCACAGTCTAGTAAAGTTTATCTGAGGAAGTCAAAGTCAAAGCCCAGGAGACTGCCCCCAGGGCCCACACAATGGACAGTGTGAGGCAGCATCACAATAGGGCTGTGGGTGTTGCAGGAAGATTTCAGGATGCTGAATAATCCATCTTTATTCTGGGTATCCAAGGGGCTGAATGCTCTTAAAAGAAATCCTGGCACCAACCAAACCTGTTTTCCAAAGTTAGGCTCACCAGCCAGAAGCAGCTCACCTTTAACCAGGAAGCTGACTTAAAGAGAGTCAGGAAGTGGATCTTGGCAAGCCTGAGGCTATTCTTTCAAGGTCATGGTGCTGTATTCTGTTCCTGGTACCAGGAAAAGAGCCAGGGCAGACAATTTGCTGGCCGTCATAGAAATAGTATGCCAAAGCCTGCCCAGGTGGCAGAAGGGGGAAGGTCAAACATACTAACTTATTTCGTTCTAAAGGAGCAGAGAAGCCAGGCAATTTCTTCAGTATCTCCAAATTAAGGGAGAAGATGCCCAGGTTAAAGAATTAAAATTTGGTCCCTTACTCAGTATTTAGGCCTGGCACTCTTAAAACATAATAAACAAAAATCTTCCTACCTGAATGGGTGGTTGAGAAATCTTTGGCTCCTCACCAGGCTTTTGGACCAGTGGCCCCTGTGCCTGTGGTAACTATGGCTAGCATGGTGACAGCTGAGGTAAAGCAACAAGCGGACAGAACCTGCGGATCATAAGGTCAGCCATGACTCAGGAAAAGCTGATGGTTCTTAAGTCCTGACCACAGTAGACAAAGGCTATTTTAAGACACACCTGAGCACCTGCTCCCACATCAGATTGTTTATTCATGCTCTGAAACACCGATGTGCTTTTCCTTGTTTAGCTATCCACAGCCACCTAGGCTGGATCTGGAAAGGCCCGCCCTGACTCTGTAGTTCATTCTGAGTCTGGCTGTGCACACAAGTCACCCAGGAGGCTTTGGATAAACAGATTCACTGAACTTCTCTCAAACCTTCTGAATCAGAGCATTGGGGATAGAAGTAAAGGGATCTGTAGCTGTCTTTAAGCTTCCTTGGATGGCTCTGATATCACTGGTTGGGAAGGCAGCTTTGAAATGGCCATCTGTAGTCAGTAGCAGTGTCAACCCCCTACCCCAGGCAGATGAACACTTTCTACCATTGCTGACATTTGTCTCTGAGTCACGTGAGAGCTAATAATTAAGTACTATATAAAACTATGCAAGTGAACAATGTACCTTTAGTACTTCTTTAGGATATATAATGAACATGTTTAAGATTTTAAAACTGAGCTAGAGAGATGGCTCAACAGTGAAGAGCATCTACTGCTTTCCCAAAGGACCAAAGTTCAATTCCCAGCAACATCAGGAAGCTCACAACCACTCCACCTGTAACTCCAGCTCCTGGGTTATTTGACACTTCTGGCTTTTGTACGCATCTGCACTCGTGTGCATACACCCACATATAGACACACAAAGATACACATAATTAAAAATAAAAATCACTTGAAAAAATTTTTAAATATTTTAAAACCAAGTAATATAAACTTATTAACATACTAAAAGTAAAAAGTCACCTAATAATGTAAATAGATTTCTTAAAAATCGACAAAATTCATCAATTCCTGATTTAAAAAAATATTCAGAGGGGCTGGAGAGATGGTTCAGTGGTTAAAAGCACTGCCCTGGGTTCAGTTCCCAGCACCTACATGGCAGCTAATAACTATCCATAACTCCAGTTCCAGGGGATCTGATGCCTTCTTCTGACCTCCCTGGGCATTGTATGCACAGTTGCACTTACATATGCAGGCAGGACACTCATACACATAAACGTGCAGTGATCCTATGTAAACCTTCAGCAATCCAGTATTGCAGCAGCAGATCAGTGGAGTAGGAGACAAACACAGGCATGGAGCAGCAGCTCTGGCCAAGATGTAGAAGCATCTCAGCAGAGAAGACATCTCAGCAAATGGCGCTGAGCAATCAGATATGCATGTGCGAAAATTACTTCACACCCCACAGCAGTACAAAAAGTGTCTCGAAATGGATTACAGAATACAAAACCTAAAACATACAACTTTCTAGAACAATACAACAAAGAACCTCTTTGTGGCCTCAGAGCCTACAAGTATTTCTGATTATCTGATACCAAAAGTATGATCCATTAAAGAACACTTGAATTTGGTAAAAATTTAAAATTTCTGATCATCAAAAGATACTATTAAGAAAATAAAATGAGGACAGGCATGGTGGCCCACATTAAAAAGGTGACCCACCCTTTTAATCAGGTGGATCTCTGTGAGTTCCAAGCAAGCTTAACTCTACATAGTGAGTTCCAGGTCAGACAGAGCTATATAGTGAGACACTGTCCCCCAAACAAACAAGCAAGCGAGCAAGCAAGCAGAAAATGAAGAATGAAGAAAAAAAAAGACGAGTCACAGACTGGGACAAAATAAGAGAGAGAAAGACTTGCTTTCGGGTGGGGAGGGCCAACCAGTGAAGGAAGGGCAGCAGGACTGGGCCCAGGGTGAGGCAAGTGAGGTTTCCCAAGGAACACGAGGAGGCGCTCACTCTCAGTATCTAAAAGCTCCTGGTGTCCATGTGCTGTGTGATGGTGCCCTCTCTTGGTGTAGGCTGGACCTGGCAACTTGTTCTGACAACAGAATGCCGCTGGCATGATGGATTACCACCCTAACGATGAGGTAATGTGCAACTCTGACTATGTTGCTTGCACCTAGCTCCTCTTACCTGTTCTGATGAGACAAGCTGCCTGGTCACTAGTGAGCCACTCAGTGGAGAAGCCCTGAGAACCCCAGCCCTCAGCCAGGTGGCTATCAAGGAATTCAATTTTGTCAACAGCCATGAAGAAAACGTCTAGAATGCAGCCTCTGACAAAATTACAAATAGGATTTTCTACTGACCTTGCAGTGATGGCTCTGAGAATTCCATACCACCAAGTCGGGGAGGCCCCCTCGGCAGTGCCGAAAGTCAGCAGCCAGGAGCCTGCACACGCCACTGATGACAGGACCCCCAAGGCAGGAGACAAGATCCTAAGTACAAAACAAATCAGAGTTAGCCATCTTGCAGATCAGAGACCCCGAAATAGGCTCCAGGGGCATCAGAGTACCACCAGTGTGCAATTCAGCAGACAGCTTCCAGTACACCACAGATGCCTGGGCTGCTTAGACCAGGCTCCAGAGCCACAGTTGGCTCTGGAAAGCCAGTTCTAGTTACCAGGCCTCTGCCTGGTGGGGACATCCTGTGGGACCATGTTGGGAAGAAGGGGTTTGGATCTAGCATGTGGGCATGATGATTCCTCACAGAGGTCAGCAGCTACAGGGACAAAGAAGCTGCCTTCCCTGCATTAGCCACAGGTCAGACCCAAGTGGAAAGGATGCCATGGGAAAAGCCATGCAGGTAAACTATTACCTGAGCTTGCTGAAGAGAAGTGAAGCGATCCCAGCTGACCAGGGAAGCCACTCTGCCTTCCTGAGCCTGCCAGGCCTCTGCCACACAGGCTCGCAAGTTTTCTGCAGGGGCACTGTGGATCCACTGCAGCCTGGCCTCCAGGGCTCGACCCCTGCTTGTGAAGAAGCTGTCTGTGTACAAATCCAGTGGGGATGCCTGTGTCACAGGGAAAGCAAACTTTCACTGTGTGCCTGGGAAGAGCTCATTAACTAGAGGAATGCTCAGTATTTACAGTTTTTGAAACTGGGCGATTGATACATTAGTTTTTTCTCCTCAGAAGAGATGATTAAATCTGATGTTAAGGCAGGTTTTTATCCTGGGTTTTTAGTGATAATTTGCTTTGGGACTAAATCAATAGAACCACAGCTGGCACGTGGCAGTGTAAGAGCCCTTGGCAGGCTGCTGGGCTCCAACAGGTGCTCAGTGGAGACTGCAGCTGAAGGTACTTGACACCAAAAATTCAAAATATAATGCTGAAGGGAAACTAGACTTAGAGTTCCAAATTTAACATATTTATGTTTTAAATTCTACTAGTCCCGTTTTAAAAGGTACCTTCTCTTTCAATGGAACCAGCACTACGAACTAGCACTACGAGGGATCCAAAAGACCAAGAAGCCAGGTTGCTGCCGGCCACAGACACTTGGCACACAGGGGGACAGGAATGACAGGCCTGTGTAGGAGAGGCCCCTGGTGGTTAGCAGGTTACCTGGTAGGCATTTCTGAAGACGTCTGGGATTCCATCCATGAAGATGATATCCCACAGGAGGAGGCCACACAGTGTGCTGAAGGTGGATCCTTCCCCATGAATCCCTATAATACGTCACAGATGGAGAAAGGACCAGTTTTATCTAGTTCTTCAAAAATACTATTATGACCTTATATAAACTCTGTTTCAAGGAAATGATAGAAATATTGTTGATTCTGAAGGAAAAACTGTTTTCATGCCATTCCTACTTTATCTTTTTTACACTCTACTCAGCATATAGATACTTCATATAAGGGAAGCAGGTTCCCTCCACAGGCTCTGAAGAGTCTAATTCAATGGCAGGCTGGGCTGGGTGTTGGGGACCCCTGTTGTGTGAAGTAGAAGTTCCTCCATGACCGGATAGCCCACGGGCTCAGCGTAAATGCAGGGACTCCTTTTAACAATAGAGTGCTTTTCCTAGCATCCTCCTGACTCACCTTTTGAAGTGCCCGCCAATGCCCCAACATAAACATGGCCTCTGGCTCTGGAAATACCATGCTTTCCTGTGTGATTTTTCAGGCAGTCTGGCAGTCTGGCAGCATGGCAGGAGCCCACTTCCATATGTGAATATGGTATCTCACAAAGTGCCTATCAGCTATAGCTTTTACCACTGCCCCTACAGTATAAAATATCCCAGTCTTCTCTCAATAATAGAAAGCTGGATCACTAGAAGCTAGGAGCTGAAACATTGACACCTGGAGCCAAGCAGAGTCATTTACTAAAGAGCTATAACACGGACTAAGCTGAGTCCCGTCTCTCTCTCTCACTGCCGGTGATCCAGCCTCTCTGGGGGGCAGCATTCCTCCGTCATCGACTCACGGAGCCCTAGCTTTAGCCACCTCGCACTATTCCCGCGTGGTCCAGCGGCCGGTGGAACTCGCATATTGAGGAAAGTGCACGGGTGAAATAAGGGTGGGACCCGGCTGGGCAAAAAGCCCCAGCAGTAGAGAGCCACGGAAGACGCAGGGAAGCAGCAGAGAGACCCGCTGCCACAACAGACACGGAGCCGCGATGCTGTGAGACTTTCAGCACTAAAGCGGCGGATAGCGACGCGAGGCCAGAGACAGACGCCCGTGGAACTCGCAGCCTTCCAGGGCGCGCGACTGAGACCAGGGGACCGATCCCTGCGGGACCGCGTGCCCCATACCTGGCGCCCAATGTGAGAGCCTCTGAACCTCATGCCAGCTAGGAGCTGGTGCCCACTGAAACGCAGGATCTGTGAGTATCCCTCCCCCTCAGGAGGGTAACAAAAATCTCTTCTAAATTTCCTCCTTTTCTTTCCGGTCTGAAGTCCTTACGTGGGACTGCTAGGAACAGAGAGACAACTGATGCTTTCTGGCCAGGGCTACCCCCTGGTGTTAGCTGAAGGGCTCTCTGATCCCCTAACGGACCCCAACTGCCTATACAGGTGTGGACAAAAGACCTCTATCTTGATATCTTTCTAATATCAAAACCTGGTAATGCAAAGGCCAGTTAAAAGCCACAAGGGTGGCCGCCAGTTCCTCAAATTTGCGGGCAGGCCTGTGACTGGGAACCAGACGGAATCCCCTGAAATTTTAATTTCAGGAATGTTCCTTTGGGAACCATCATTTCACCCCACTTTTCTATCTGAACACTACTAGAAAAAAAAAACCCCAAAGTTCCAGGGATCTCCACCTAAGCTTTGGAGTCAGACAGATTCCTCTAGTCAGCTCTGTTATCCTGCCCCAAGACATTCAAGCCACAGCTAAAACCGGTTCAGTGAAAATCAAATTAACTAACCCCTGCCAAGCACCTGCAGCTCAAAAGTGGCTCCCAGACAAAAGATTTAAAACTACAACTTTTTTTTTCTACAAACCTAGAGGCTTATCACAATAAATAAATAAATATCTTCCCTTCAAAATGGGGAATTCTGTATCAAGACAGAGAAAACGTCAGATCCGTTCTCTTAAAACTCTGCTCAGATCCAGATGACTTAAAATTTCAAAAGAGAAAAGCTTAAAATTTTGAAATGAAGTACATAGGTTTGCACCCTGGTTCTTATCAGCAGACATATCTGATCCAGAGGTGTGGAACTTTCTTTCACATTTAGCATATAAGAAAGAAACCCAAGAAAAGCATAATTTTCCTCTCTCCTTTTTCCCGATAATGGCAGCCATCCAACAATGCTTAAAAAACCCACCTAGAATTGAAAAAAGCTTACAAGCACCAGAGAATAATAAAAGAGAAGTTTTAAGCAATAAAAATAATCCTACAGACTGCCCAGTAGCAGATTCAACAGAAGTCAGACAAAAATCACCCATCAACAAAATTAATCCTCACCCCTCTCTTGCTGATTCAACAAGCCCAGATACTAATGCCCAAATTTCAAAAGCTACCAAAGATTCTCGGGTAAAATCCCCTCCTCCTCCTCCACCTCGACTGCCTCCTGTGGAGAAACGCCTTACAGCCACAGAGCAGATGTTTAGCCTTAGAGACAGTGAAAGCTGCCAGCCTCAAAATTCCCAGCCTCAGCTGTCTCAGGACTCCCAAATCCCACCAATAGAAGCTTTTCCTGTCAATTTACAAATAACCAGGCAGCGACCATTAGCATGGTATCCGCTTCCTGCAGCGGAACTTAAGGAATTGAGCCAAGCTGTATGTGAAGATGGCATTCATGCTCCTTGGACTAAATCTATACTACAAACATTTAATACTAACCTGCTTCCCCAGGATTGGAGAGACATTTGTAGATCTACCCTCCCCAGTCCATTATTCGTACAATGGGAAGCCCTATTTAGAGATGAGTGCCTAATGCAAGCTAAAAGAAATGACACTCATAATCAACAGCTAAGACCTCAACCAGGGCAGGACCCACCACCTGGATATATAGATTGGAATTATGACCAGGTTTTGGCCAGGGTAATTTCTCCACAGGAATTCAGCAAGCTGAAATTCCAGCTGGCTGCATTGAGCAAATTCGCTTATGTGCTCTGCAGGCCTGGGA